GGCCCCGAACCGGAGCTGGCGAGAACCGCGATCCGCGCCGAGAGCGCTCCCCCGCCGCGGAGTCCTGCCCTGCCAGCGGGGAGGCTTTATACCCCCGGTGGCCGGGTCCTAGGTCGTCTATGGCACATGGAGAGCAATCAACTAATAATAGTAATGTGACAGTTAGCTGATGGAGCGGAGAGGAATCTAGCTAGTGCCAGACAGGCGAGAGGGAGAGTGTGTCTGGTTTGAAGCCGAGACTTTCTCTGGAAACTTTACAGATCAGAGGCAGAAACATGACTTTATTACATCAGAATACATTCCTTTTCCTGCTTAAAGATGACTTGTTTCCTACACGTGCAACTGCAAGGTCTACAGTGCAGAACTTTCCTTTTCCTATCCCATTTATACTGTGTCTATCATGCTGGAGCCTAATTTCCAGCTGGATTATTAGGGTGACAACCACGTGGCCTTAGGCTTTGCAACTCCGAGCAACGGCCATAGAAGTTAAACACAAAACGTGTTTGTCTTTTGAAGCTCAGCACAGGAACAGTCCCCCAGTGCCACCCTCAAAATAGCCATACCTGTAGTTCTGAAGCAAATGTGCAAGGTTTCAGTTAAGGATTGGGCTTCCCACTCTCAGTAAAATAAGTTTTCAGCAGATGAACACAGGTTATACATAAAGTTGGGCAGATCAAAGCAGATACACGTTGCCCTTCTGAGGGCACCACATCATTCTGGTGTCCTCAATATACGAAGGACATGGAGCTGTTGGAGCAAGTCCAGAGGAGGGCCATGATGATGATCAGGGGGCTGGAGCACCTCCCTTATGAACACAGTCTGAGAAAGTTGGGGCTGTTCAGCCTGGAAAAGAGAAGACTGTGTGGAGACCTCATAGCAGCCTTCCAGTGTCTGAAGGGGGCCTATAAGGATGCTGGGGAGGGACTCTTCATTAGGGACTCTAGTGGTAGGACAAGGGGTAATGGCTTTAAACTTAAACAGGGGACGTTTAGATTAGATATAAGGAAGAAGTTCTTCACAGCGAGGGTGGCGAGGCACTGGAATGGGTTGCCCAAGGAAGCTGTGAATGCTCCAACCCTGGCGGTGTTCAAGGCCAGGCTGGACAGAGCCTTGGATGACATAGTTTAGTGCGAGGTGTCTTTGCTCATGGCAGGGGTGTTGGAACTGGATGATCTTAAGGTCCTTCCCAACCCAAACCATTCTGTGATTCTATGATTCTACAGCAGTAAGCATTAGACACTTTGTGTTCTCCATTTATATTACCTCACAAAGGAAATCTTATTCCATGACTGGAGCTTACTTCAGTAAGCTGTTACATCTGCTGTTGGGGATGGAAATAATCCTGAGAAAACTCATCTCCTAAACCCAAGGGAAGAGACAACCGGTTGGCACAGAGAGACAGATGCAGTGAAACCAACCTGGTTAGTACCACAGGCAGGGATCACACCAGCTGACAAACACTGCCAGCCAGTGACAGCCGGCCTGAGTCTGGGGGTTTGTTCCCCTATTAAGGTCTCTGGCTGAATCACTTTCTGATTTCCAAGACTAGAAACACCAAAAACTTGGCTTTCTGGTGGATCACCGGCCCATGTGTTGAAAACTTATCAATGCTGTGGCCCATTTCACATAAGTAAAATCACAGAGATTGATTTTTGATCCAGTTTAAACTGGACAGCTCAAAAGCTGTTCCCATCCCTTTACTGTTGTTTTTCATGTATATTATAAATTTTGTAATAGTTGTTTTTTGGTTGGATTTCAGGGAGCAAAATCCAACTTCAGGATGACTAACTGGTATCCAGGCTCCTGCCACATTAATTTTGCTTTAGATTTCAAGCATTGTGCAAGTTCAAGTTTTAGAAGCAGTTGTATGAGCAACAGTTGTTTCACTGAAACCTTTTATTCAATACACACAGCAGCAGTTCATTTTGGCAATAGAAAGTTCACAAACACACTTAACTCTGACACTCGAATTGACACGTTTAGTTTGATGAAACCGAAGACTACAAAAGTCTAATAATCATTAAGAACACATTTAAAGTGAGATTATTTTTACAACTAAATTACAAATCATATAAATACTTTATTGTTGTATAATCAACACATTCAACATTCATTTCTGATCATAGGAGCACAGTTATAGCAGAAGATGACGGCTCTTATTAGCAGAGAAAGTGCCATTCAAAACTACTTAAAAATTTAGAGATTATAAACCAAATTCTGAGTTTGATTATGAATTCACTGCAGTACAACTGCACCCTGGTGCCACTGCAATGCTGCAGCTCTGGCACTTGTGTTTTCAAAGGTGGTGGACTTTGCTTAAGCCATACAGCTGGTTATCAACAGGCAATCTTCACACACCTTCTAGCTTCCGCGTACAAACGTGGGGTTACAGGAGAACTGATTACAAAGGAGAACTTTGTAACAGTTCTGTGTTACAAAGAGGCAGCCTTCCCCCGTTTGAATTTATAGGGGTGTCTGCCACTAGGAAGGGTAGAACATACAAAGGCTTTTAGGGAAAAGGTCCAAGAAGACTCAGAGGAGACCAAAAGCCTGCCCATGTGCACCTGCACATTTCCCTCTTCCTCTCTCTTTCCTCCCTTCCCCTATTTCTTTATTTCTTAACTGTTGCAAAACCAAGTGTTTGTTGGTGGTACCTTGCAGCAACCGGATACTGTAATTCTTATTTTGGATGCAAAATACATCAGTGCCATTTCCCACCTGATTCTATGGACTTTTGAGCTATGTGAGTGCATGGAAGTGCTCCTTTTTTAAAAGTATACATCTGTTTCACCTGAATATTGTCAGGTTCTTACCTATTTTCTAGATATTTTGGTGTTCCATCAGACCTTTTTCATTCTTCTGTTTAAAAAAAGTCCTTTCAGTTTCAACAGAAGATTGACTTAATTTAAATTACCTGGAAACATTTATAATGTCATGTGCAACACTTGCACTTGCTTCATGAGCTTTTTATAAATAATATGAAAATTGCTCACTGAACTATATATTTAGTTCTGCGGAAAAGTGCATTTCTCTTTTTCTGTGATGAATGTTAAGGTGTAATTTTCTTAATATAATTCTATTAGACCAGACAAACAACAGCAGACAATTTCCTTTGACATACTGCAACCCCAAGGTAGTACACTTGCTGTGGAATATGCCATTTACTCCATCACTACTATTTCCAGCTGTTCCTATTGATTCTGAACCCAACGAGACACTTTACTGTTCCATATACATTCATTCATAGACTTGCAAAACACTGCTAAAATACAGATACTTTTGAGCAGGTAGGTATGCTTAAGCTGAGTGAGATGGGTGCAGAAAACTTCACACTCTGTATTGAAGACACACTTTGTGGAGAAACAAACTGCAGCCAACGTTTTGCTCTTTTGTTGTATTCATTTGATAAATAGAAAAATGATGAAAATGTGTCGGCTGCAGTAAGATCCATGGAGTTACACAGACCCTCCTTTTCAACCGTCACTTTCTTGGGTTGTGTTCATCCAAACGAAGAAAAATGTTTCCAATCAAGGTGTGTTTCAATATGCTCCATTTTAACAACGTGGTTCTCAAGTATTCAGAATTACTCTCTAATTACTTACTCTTCGTTACTCAACACAGGATAGATTCTTGTGGGCTGGCTTTGTGTGGCAAAGCATACGTAAGTGTAGTTGAAGAGCCTAAGCCAACTACAAAACATTGTTTCAGTTTATAGACATTCAAAGATGATAGACCATCATTATTTATTACCTCTAGCACAGGAAAAGGCGTTACTGCAAATTCCTGCAATGCCTTCTTACTGTGCTGTGCTCCTATCTAGAGTTCAGGGTTCCATATCCCGAGCCAGTTTTACATTGCACATACATGGCCACAGTTGCTTACATTTCCTCTTAAATAAGACACCTGACTTCCTACAAGGAAAGGAGGAAGATGGAAATGCTTTTAATTATAAAACACTGCCTTTGATTCTGATTCATGATTAACAAATCTCGTCAGACACCCTTATTTAAAAATATATTTTGAAATGCTACATATGAACTGAGAATGGCATTAGTTTGTTTAACACCAAAATATAAAGTAGTAACAGTTGTAGAAAAAGGAAAAGTTTTAAATTAACAGGTGAAGCTACCACAGCTTTTTGAATATATAAATAAGTGCTTTCAAACACCTTCATGATGTTTAGCTATTTTAAAACAAAATAAAGTGAAAAATGCATACTGGAAGTAATTCCTGCCCTAACGGCACCTGCATCGCTCCATTACACTGCAGTACAAAATGACTGTTTACACCCACAACAAATGTAATTTCAGGGCAGTTCTGTGAGTGAGATTACTTTATTGCATGTGTCACATGAATTAGAGACTGCATATGCCCCAGTCAAAACACCTTCTTGATCTAGACACACAATGATTTGGGGACTCTGTAATAAGCATTCTGTACTATAAGCCTTTAAAGGAAACAACTCCATCAGCTTCACTTACAAATTATCTGTGCAAAAGTACAGTATTTCATAAATAAACTTTACTCAAAATTACAGGAAAAAGCTTTGGGATACATTAAATATAAATACAGTTTCAGCTGAGCTGCAAATTTAATTTAGGTATATACAATAACACGCTCACCAGTCCTTTTCGCAGATGTACACGTAACCTCCCTGAGTCCTTTTCCATACTTAGCAACATGATACATTTTCAGATGCTTGCTCAGTAACAGCAATGATAGCTTCGGTGTTAGAGAGAAAGGTGGGAAGGAGTATGTCAGGAGCACTCCATTTCATTTGTCATGGATTTTAAGCTTACTGTACTTTTGCTTCCAAGAGCCCACTGGTCATGACATGCCCAGGACCACTTACACAAGCATTGACATGTCTCAGTGAATCTGCTCCAAGATAGGCCATTAAAAGTTCCGTGTGTCGGATTAATAATTGCATAAGATCTTCAGCCAAACTCTCCATAGTTGAGTATCTCACCTTTTCAAAATCAAAAATGTCTTTGAGGAAGAAAAGCACTTGATCCTAGTGAGGGGGATAAAAGAGGGGAAAACTTGTATTCACTTCCAAGGAGGAAAAAAGTACAGAATGTTATTTCCTTTACACGTTTCCTAAAAACATCCATTTATGTATTCTTTTGGTGCTAAAACAGAAGTGCATTAAAATAGACTTTGCAAAACAGTTCTAGGCTTAAAAAAATTTTAATATTGTAACATTTATTTTCATGGTTTCTTACCGTTATTAGTCTTAATCTTGGGAAAACCCCAAGGTATGCCTGCAAATAGATCCTCAGTTCTTTTAACCTGGGAGATGTGGGTTTTTTTAAGTTAAGTGGTAATAAAAAAAAAAGTTGCAAACCTTGAAGAAGCAGCACAGGTCATAAAGGGAGTTTCTAGGGCCCAAAAAGCCCCACGCCAAAACTGGGCTGATATGTTCACATATAGCATAGAAATGTGCAAAAAATCCATCAGGCACCTGGTGACGTAAAAATTACAGATAAAAGTTACACAGTAAATACAGCATAAGTCTCTACAAATTAAGTCTTCAGAACAGCCTAAAACACCTGCTACTTCAGGACTGTGGTAACCTTTAAGTTATAGGCAATTGTACCAAACAAGTGGCATGATTTTTGGCAGAAAAGGTTTTTATTTCAGTGGTACTTTGTACTTTAAATATTTGAAGATTAACAGGCATAAGCCCAAAAATAGAATGAACAATCTACTCTGGCTCCCATATGACAGATAATTTTGTTCAGTTATTCCTGTTTGAGCCCCTATACACAATGGATTGCTGCAAAAAAGTAAGCAAACTGCACAGTTTTGAATGAAAAAAAATATACCTTATAATAATCCATTTTAAAGTCTACAGAAAAACATAAAATACCTGTGAACGTCCCTTCTGTTGTTACCTTTACAACCTATACTCATAAACTATAAATTCATATATCATGTATGAATGTACAGTTAATTTCATATACTCATAAATTTAACTTTACAACATCAGTTACTTTATTAAATAATAATAGAAATTAATCAAAATTAAAGCATAAAATACCACATAAAGAACTATTTATAAGTCAATTTAAGTTCATCGAACTCCTTGTGACAGGTAGTTTCTCCCTTACAAAGACTTCCACGGTGCTTTACTTTATCCACTTCTGAATGTCTCCAGCAGCACTGGTGAAACTAGTCCCCAGGAGTAAAGTTACTCACGTGTTTACAAACTTGTAAATATTGATACTTCAGTATACAAAGGAACTACAGAGTAAGTGCACTGAAATACAGCTTAAAGTAATAGGTTACTGTAACATCTATTTTGGAGATATAATCCCTTTATACAAAACAAGTGTAAGAAAGATCTATATATAAAATTCCTAACCACACAGGTTGGCACAGGGATGTAACATCTCAAATCTTAAAACATAACAATAGCTGAGGACCTTTTAAAAAATACCAGCTGCCCCTGGAAGCAACTGTTTGTTTGGGTTTTTTTAATGATGAAATATGTCTCTAGCAGTCAGGAGTCATGCAAATAGCTATTCTTAGAATCAGAGAAAGGTGTCGGTGCCCATCACATGAGCACAGATTCCTCACCTGCTGTACGCAAAACCACTTCTAACGGCTATGGATGTCCAGCAGCAAGCCTCAACTCTGCTTTGGAATGTCTAATACAGAGATAGGCCTCGTAAGTCTAACAAAATCCTCCAAAGATGGAAGTGAGGAACTGCTGGTGCAGAGGAGTTCTACTTCAAAACCTGCAGAGTTCCTTCACTGAATGAATGGTCAGGATGCAGGCAGGCAAGATACTGGATTTAATGACCTTGGTCTGCAAAAATCCAAGGTGCATGTCTGGGGCCACATGCCAGAGAAGTGACTGTCAGCATTGTTGACTGGACCTAAACTAGCCTGAAAATCTTTCAGCTAAGGCTTTGCTGAAAAACTGGTACTAGGGCTCCATAAGCTAAACTAGAACTGGCAGCCTCTTGTCTAAACTAACATGTCTACAGGATTAAGGGTTGATATGTGATTCATTTTGCCAAAGCTACAGAACTTCAAATACTCAGGAGCCAATCGGTAACTTTGGACAGCACAATTTGCAAGGCAACTTACCTTCATTTGCTGTCTTTTCTGCTTCAGTACTGACCAACAGCTTGAAGCCACAGCCTAAATGTAAAATAAATAAATAAATAAATAAAAAGAACCCAAACAAACAAGCTCCAAACTGTGCATAACTTCACTATAAGAGAAATTATTTTTCATCTCAAAAAGAAGTCAGCTGCAGAACACTATTTCTATACTTCGGGGATTTTTATTTTCTTCAGTTTCAATCTTGAGATAACGCAACGTTTAAAACTGTAAAATATCAGCTGAAACAACTAACGTTATATGTAGTTCATATTTGTTATTGTCAGATCTTATTTTGCAACATTTTCTTTAGTTTAATTCAAGTATCATTTGGCATCCTTGTCTGATTTCAGTTGCACCAGTTAGGAACATTCACTGGGTTCAGCTGAGGACCAGTCTCCTATATACCAAAGCATGCACTCAGACATAAGTAACTATTTTAGATATTAAGTAGCATACAAACACATTGCAATGCCCTTTTTCATTTTAGCAAAAACATTCTTGCAATAGCTTCAGATTCAGCTAAGGAGTTTTGTCCAAATATGGACCTGTGAAAGACAATATACTGGTATCAGTACTAGGCTTTTTCCCCTCATCTGATTCTCCTCCAGTACTGCAGGATAATTTACTACTCACAAAGCACAATGTTATCACATAATTACAAAAATAAATATATCCATGTTACCTCTTTTTTCCTTTAGAGGGACTATTTCAATTGAAAGATAAGTACAAGAAAAACTGGGAGTTTATAGATATAAACAGATGAAATGAGCGTAGTATCGCTACCAGCTGACCATGGCAGTAGCCTGCATGCCTGTAACAGAGGGGTGAGATCTATCTGACAAATAAACAGGCACATGTGAAGAAGTGTGAAATGTTACCAACATTTGAATGCCTGTATTTTATTAATTTACTTTTGTGTGCTTGCAACTTTGTGCCTTATTGCTAAGTCTCAGATAGAGGTTTTGATTCATGTACCAAATACCTGAAGTGTGGCTAACATAAACTTCCCTTCTAGAATTCTACTTCCCCAGAGAAAACTCATTTTTGCAGGGCAAGTTAAACTATTTTTCTAATACCTTCAATCATTCTCTATATTTGGGCTCAGACTTGTAGCTTTTAAACTGCTATTATGAATAACCTGATAATACAACCTGTTTATTTCTTCCGAGGAATATTTCGGGTACACACTCAGTTGTATTAGAGGCTGAGTTAGACTTTATAGTGAAGGTCAATGTAGTTTCTTTGCTTCAGAATTAGTGCTATTATCTAGACAACGTACACAGTCTGATCCCTGGAGCTGCTGGATTTATTCTAATTTTTACACCGTGCTTTAAAAATACAAAGCACAGATTGCCACAAAACCAATTTTAGTATATACAGAAATTTTATATCAGAATTCTCACACTAATGTTATATTGATCGTACCATATACTTGTTGTACTACAAAATAATGATTATGAAAATTACACATAAATACTTACTGTTTCTTTAAAAGAGGAATTTAGCCAGCGGTTATTTACTACATTCTGTATAGATATTGGTGGATTTTCTAAATCTTCAAATGAATCCATTAGTATGAAGTCCAGAACAACATCATAAAAATTCAGGTTTTTCACCTATATTAAATCAGAACATGACCTAAGTAACCTAGTTTCTCTTTCAGCAGTAGAATTCAGCATGCGCCACATTCTAACTCTGTATTAACATGCAGATTTATAATTGCTTTTAATGAATATTAAAGATACTTTGTCAGTAAAGGAGAAGTTATAAAAATATTACATGTTATCTGGTACTAAACTGCAGTGGTGGATGCCATTTCTCTAAATCAGCAATGTAAACACAAAAAAGTTGCACTTTTCAGAAATTCAGACTCACTCCTGTAGCAGCAAGTTCCATTTCGGTATTATCCCAGTGATCTGTTTGTTCCAAAAAATATATCATTTCATCAAAGACATCTTCAAATTTCTTTGGATTCTGTAAAGTAAAAGCAACGATTATCAAGCAAACTTAACAAAAGAGATGGTTTATTTTCACTGGAAAGCAAACTCTGGTAGAAGTTCCATTAACAATAAAATGTTAGTTAAAAAAAGGCTTTTACCTTTCGTGCTTTCACAATTAAAGCAGACAAAATTTTTCTTCCACTTTCAGCGAGAAATATTCTGTTTGCTGTCTCTGAAAGAATTACCTAGAAAAGGTTCAGAAAAGACAGACATATTAATTCACAGGTTATACTAAGTGACCTTAAACACTTCAATCAAATTTAATATAATTATAACCTCTAGTATGGTAGGCAAGTTCCTAATAAGCCTTCGGTGCAAAGGTTCCACAGCTAATCACAAAACTAGGACTCCTCTGCAAATTTTAGAATTACAGAAATGTAATAGCAACAATAAAATATTTAATTACAGAATATGTTATAAAAATTGCTTGTACAGGTAGTGCACTGATAACTGCAGCTTTAGAAGACAGACAGACAAATCGCTCTCCTTTACCTGAAAAGCTTGTCGAATACAGTGAAGCTTAGCAAGGAAGTCACTGTCTCCTAGACATTCAAACATTTCAGTCCTATATAAAATAGAAGTTTTCAAAGACCATTAAAAAACAGAAGAAAATTCAACTAAGTCTAATTCCTAGAAAAAATACCTAGTACAAGTAACTTCTACAAAATTAGTATATTTACATTCAATTCTTGCTTTTCTTGGAAATAATTAAGTAGACATAAATCAGTACCTTAACACTCGTGAATAAATTTTGCCTTCTTCTGCTAAGTGCATAGCTTCTTCATACAATGGACAATGGCAAAGGGAATCAAGACCATACGTACTACGAATCTCTCTGTGCTCTGTAAGCTGAAACAGAGTATTTTTGAAGTTCATTAAAGAGCTTGCTTACACAGTTTTTGTAAAGGTAAATCAAAGAAGTTTTCCTGATATCCTACTGAAAGATAGATCCTTTCCTGCATTTGCTTAAAACAAAGGGGAAACGCTCAACCAGTAAAGAGAAGAGAAACACCCCAATTATTACATAACTTAAAATCCGAAAGCTACAGTTTCAGGTTTTAAGTTTCAAAAGTCTAATTAGTTAAATGGAGGCAGCTTAGCTCTGGTTTTAATTTGCCTAGTTAGGTTTCTAATTTGCCTAGTTAAATCTAATGGGTCTCAAAGCTGTTAAAAAACCCCAGAAGTCAGGACATGAAGTACAGAACAACCATGCAAACCTCTAGGAAGCTGGAAATAGTAACATCCTTCCACTCCTGTTTTTGTCTCGCTAATAGATATGTCTGCTAGTTACCAAAGCATATTGTATGAAGCATGAGTGTCAGCATTTTACTACAGGCTCTCAAAAATGTTCTAATTTTCAGCAGTTTTAATTCTATTTAATGTATTTTAATTCTAATTTAATGTAGTTATGACATAGATTAATGAGAACTCATTGACATTTTTAGAGAAAAAAAACCCAGCAAAATCAGGTTAAAAAAATCAAGTTAAAAAAATCAAAGCATGTAAATAATATAGAGAACTCCTGTTTACAGGGTATCATATTTAATCCACAAAACAATGGCTAGCTACAATTTCCACTACAAACATTACATCATATTATTAAGGATCCAAAAAAATAAAAATCAGACTCACACATCTTTCAGTTTAGTTAATGACCAGAAAATTAATTCTAACTTTTTTTAACACACCCCTCCCCCTTTTTTTATTTTTTATTTTAAATATCCTGCATGGGGGAAACAAACCTGTGCTTCTAGGCTATGATAACAGAGCCTAGAAAGATCTTAAAGAAATAATTCTCACAGTAACTGACCTATAAAAAAATAGTTACCCTATATCTTAGAAAGATTAAAAAAATCAGATTAAACTATAACTTGATGTTAAATTTCCACTGAAATTCTGAAATAAATATATGCTGAAAAGTTTTTCCTGTCACTGAGGACCTACAGGCAAGTGCTGGCACAAGACTTCATAACGACATTAATGAGCGTGCTTCCAGTGTTTCTTCTCCACAGAATTTAGTTGAGCATACTACAGCACCAGCAGTTTGGCCAAGCAAGCTTGCCTGCTAAAGGGAAGAATATAAACAAGTGCCAATACCTGCTTATGTCCATGTAAACATTTAAGCACATGAATATGTTACAGAGCATTCAGTACAGATGGTTTGAATCACTTGTACAGTATCTTTTTACATAAGCAAATACATACAATTCCTTTCAAAAATTGTCAGCATCCATTTTAAATTGATTTGCTTGGCTAAGAAAAAATAACATCTGTATTCCTATAAAGATTTCTACAGAGCTCTCAAATTGAGACTCTAGTGATGAGACAACAGCTAGGGAATGAGTGAAGGAAGAAAAGTTTTAAGGTCATCAAAATATCATACCCAAATGACTAAGGTATTCTTTTAGAATTCATCTAGCTTGAAAGTATTTCCATTTTAAAACTATGTATTTATCAGTTGTTTTGCTTGGAATAACAGAGTAGATTAAGCTGACTTGCTAAAAAAGATTTCCAACTATGAAGACCAAGGATTTTATCCCAGTTTAACAATATTAATCATAGCACCAAACTGTGGTTTGGATTTGCTAATTCAAAAAAGCCCACCTGAAGATTTATGTTCTTTATTTATTTAAACAAAGGAACCCACACAGCTTTTAACTGAAATATACAGGAATTAATAATTCAATCAACTGGAAGAAACGGGAATGTATTGATTTCTTTCAAATATAAGAAATCAATATACATACAGACACACCGCACACACACACATATACATATACACATGTATATATAGTGTAATAGTTAGAACAGTTATAAACAAGAAAAAGTGAAAAATCTTTACTCCAGAATTTGGTTTTCTACATTATGGTTAAGAAAGTATTAACTGTGGAAAAATACATACATATTTTCCAAAATAAAGACCAAACCAGAACACAAATAAGTATACTAGTTTATTTCTTACCTGATTCAGCACTTAGTAGAAGCCATAAAACTTTCTATTTACTTTATTTCATTTGCAAAGCATGAGAATAAATAGGCTGTGCACACAGAGACACTTTGTAAACAGCTGCCCCTCTCTTGGAGATTATAATTTCTGTGGTAAAAGGGATTATATTAGTTTTCTGTAGTGAGCTTTTGGCAAATCACCTTCTTCAGACATTTAGGCAAACTGACTGTGACTAAATTAGGACTCGTGATTTCTACAGTCAGATGGAGGTAATACTCATCTGCTGCCAGCAAGCTGGAGATAGTAACATCTTTAGCACATGAAGATGCCTGATCATACCCTTTGTAGTTATAGATTAGCATCAAATCTTGTACTTGAGAGTTGGGTGAGGCCCTTGATTATATTTAGCCTTTTTTTTTTTTTTTTTAAACTTCCTCTCATGCTAGCAAATGAAATAAAATAGCTGTGTAACTGTTGTAATGCATAGTACTGAGCTCCAATGAAGAAAGCGGTTAAATCACCCAGCTACTAAACAGAGAAGGGTGTAACTATTCTTCCACTGAGAAGATGGTTCTGATTAGAGTGAAGTTAGTTCCAACCAATAACATTTGGAAAGGAGGTGCAAATTGCTCTATCACTGTCTTCTTTTAGCATGCAAAAAGAGGAGAGGAAAGAAACCCAACAAAAACTGAAAACCAGAAACTAAAATGACCTCTAAGTTTAACTAGAAAGGTGATCTGCAGACAATCTCTGAAGCTGCATCGCAATGCTCCTGGAGTCATCATGGATTTTCTTTTGATGCTTTCTAGTATTTAAAAATACATTATATGTCAATATTTTATATGTAGATACAAACAGTACACATATATGTAACATACAGTATTATATTTTAAATGGTTTTGCAAACATTCAGTAATGGCCATTCTCTTTGAGATGAAATAAGGTAAAAGCTTGCATCCTGGTTCAAAATAAGATTAGTTGAAAATGCTCTTAACACACATCCATGGTACTAACATAGCAGAGTTCAACTATTTGAAGAATGGACAAATTATATACAGTGTTTAACAACATGCAGAGCACACAACATTTCCTAGATAAGAGCTTCTCAAGCTGACATCAGAAAGAAAATTAATTCTTTGTTGTGAAAGTCTCCAAGGACTTGTTACCTTTGAGTAAACAATGTGGAGAGAAAGGTTCATTTTAAATGAGGTAGTCCCCTATAACTACCTTATATCAATTGGCATGCCCTCATGGTATGTATCCAGGCACATGGGTTTTGCTCCACTGTGTTCCCCTATGCACCACATAACTTTCCTCAACAGTGATTCAGTATTTACCAGAAGTTATCAAAAAGCCCCAGCATCCCACATCTTGTCACCACAGGTAAGTTGGATTCTTGAGAGCTCCCTGAGTCCTTTCTTGCCACTCTGTAGTGAACATTTTGCACAGCCACTGCCATTTTGAAATTCTTAACACACTGCTAGGGATGAAAATGTGCTCCATGCACAGCTACCAAAAGTGCTGGCAGCTGCAAGTAACAGAGGCTTGTGACAATGGACCTGATGTGCCAGTCTCTAAATGCCTGCTATTTCCTCAGTGTCATGTGGGGTTACATGAAGTATATGAAAATGCAAACAAAGAAGAGATGAAAAAATGAATTACCCTGTATCAGCAATCTAATCTTGTAATGGTTTACTTCCAGCCATTCCAGTCTCAAGAAAGAGACAGTAGTTGGTGACCACTGCACAGGACATTTTTGATGACCTGCAGTGGATACCTAACTTCAATATGTTGAAATACTATGTACATCTTCAGAACTCCGAAGCTTGTAGTGATAATTTGTGCCTCTGCAAGCAGTGCTGTCAAACAGCCTCCAAGGATTACAACATGGACTGGTTTTGTTCAGATGCTGATTAGTTTTCTCTGGACAGTTCAGCTTTAAGGCTGCAACTGCTAGTTAAGAGATACTGCATCCACTGTTGTAAAGCACCAAAGCTCTAGAACTTGCAATAGTTTTTAAGCTTGGGATTCCCTGGCTGGTTTGGTCTCACGAACAGACCCAGTACTCTTATTTGTCAGCCACAAGTTGTTTCTTAATAAATAGAAAAAATTCTCAGCTGTGCATCAAGACCTTGTTGACTACCAAAATAACCACCTACTTGAATGTAACAAAAATAAACATTGCTAGACCTTTTGGAATTCTTGCTTGCTCCCCCTAATAAAAAGGTCAATTTACTGGCACAGTCAGCATTCCTTACATTCTGAGAAACTATGCTTAGCCTGAATTAAAAAGCCTGCTGATGATCTCTTTTCTCTGGGTATCTTTATCCTTTATATATCTTTTTCTTAAACATGAGTAGCTCCAGAATGAGTGTGAAACATGTTCTGCAAGTTAAAAGATGTGATGGTGATCACTAAATAAAACATTTGAGACCGTTCTTTAATAAACTGCAATGATAAAGTGGTACGTTCTTCCTAGTATCTGGAATAAAACAGGAAGTTAACGTACTTTCAGGAACTCCTCCTATAATTACTTGTATATATTACAAGACACCTGATACCTTTTCTCTGAGGAAAACACACATCCAGAACATTATTTTATTTGAATTATTACTGCAACTTTATTCATTTTAAGTATAACGAAGAAAGCGAATGCACTATGTTGTGTGCATCAGTGATAGTACTGCTCCTTGCCAGGCGGAATAATCCTGGGCTATGTGCTGGCGTTTGCCTACATAAAACCTACATGGAGGTATTACGCTACAGCAATTCGTTCAGTGCTAATACATGGGATTTGTTACAAATGTTACATATATTTTCTAAGAAATAAAACCTGCACAGTATGAGCAGTCAGCATATAGGAACACACTGGCTATTAGGTGAAACTCCTCTGTGTCCCAGAAACGAAAACATTTAATATACTATGCAAATACCATACATAGCTAAGATTTCTGCTAGAGGACAAGGATCAACCCCAGATTTTTGGATTTTATTATTAGTTTTAAAGTTTTTAGAGCACCATTTAATGACTTGTTGATCTAAGTTGTCCTATTCATAGCCATACAGCAAGCAATCACAGCTGTTCTTGGTGGAATCCAAGGAACATGGTTCCCACTGACCACTCTTCATTGCCACATGGAGAACTTTTCTCAATAACGGAATCTTTTCAACTGGAGCAACATCTATAAGTATGCACAAGACAAATAATAGAAAAACCACCCCAAAATCCAACACAAATGAAGCATGAAGTTTGAGGAATTCGTTAGACAGGACACAGGAATGAGAAACGTTTCTCAAAGTGGAACGCAACTTTTCTCTTGCCTATAACACCACTGACATTATTGGGAGGTGGAAATCTGATGATGCTATTAATAGACAAGCTTTATTGCTGGATATCAAGCTTTACTGGACACCCTAAAATCTTCTGAGTTTGCCCAAAGTAGAAGGCAGTGGTAAGGAGCACTTCAGGTACAGCTTCTTCAAAGAAATAGCATTACTCTTAGCAGAATGAAAGAATTCAGGATTAATTCTTTCCTCTCTTTCTTCACAGGTTTTAAGACTATAAATATGAGGCACCTCAATACCTCATTAAAGTTGTTAGAATAAGAAGCTGCTTACAATCTACTACCTAGAGCATGCTAAGACTACAGAACTGCTGTACTTCATTTGCTCCTGAGGTAAGACAGTAATTCATGTCAAATTGGACAGATCACACGAACATGGAGGAAGTGACCAGGATGAGAACAGTAAGTCCTGAGAAGATCAGATCAGTGATTATGGTCACACTTCTGAGGGCAGTCAGAACACTGCCCACAGAAGGCTTATCTCTGACTTTTGTTATGAAAAACAAACACCCCACCGAAACACTAAACATCTCACTTAAAAATGCTGTAGGAATGCACCCTACAATTACTTGCCTGCATTATTCCTTCTAGTATTCCCTATTTCAGGAAAGGAATAAAACATCTATCTGGAAACCAGGAAAAGGGTAATCCTACCTTTAAGTAACAGGGTTCTTTTTGAGCACTTTCTGAATCTAAAATTCAGTTACAGTCACTTCAAAGGTTTTGGTGCCATATACAAATAATTACAAGCATACGGAAACTGATGTTCTTTTCCTTTTATCAAAGCCTGCTTGTTCCTGCACTGTTTTAATAGATTTGAACTGAAGAAAGACAATCTTTGTAAAGGAATTACTGATAAAAAACAGAGAATCTAAGGCTTTATTCACAAATCTCAAAATCTCCTAAGCTTTGGACTGAGTTAACATTTTAATAAAGAAAGCAAAGTTTATTTGATAATAGAACTACTGATTCAGTTCTAGTCAAGATATGAAAATAAGACACGATAAATGCATGTGCACTGACAACAGTGAGGCAGCAATGAAGCTCACTATCAGGGAGAGCAGGAAAGAGCTTCTATTGGAAAGATGGAAAAGAAGCCAGGAAAGAGAGGGTGGAGACCTTTATCTGGCACACTCACTGCTGTATTCTTGCCAAAGGTGGTAGCTATTTTGATCACACAGAGGATGAGATAGCAAGAATATGAAAACAATACTAAGCCTCATAAACACAAGTTGATGGCAGATGGTCTAAAATAGGGAAGAAAATAACATTATTCATCACAGTATATAGTATCGGTAACTTAATTAGGGGCAAATGGTTGTGCTTACCATCCCTTTTGTGGTGCTTCCAAAAGCCTCCATGTATTTAGGAACAGAAATCTGTCTGGGCTTGGGGATGGCAACTGTCTGCATAACTCATCTTTAAAAGGATTCAGACACCTGTGTATTGTAGGTGTCCAGACTGGCACCATTCTGTATAAGAAGGTATGAATTGAATGATCCTCAGAATCCTCTTGATTATCAGCCACAGCCAAGATGAAGTTCTGGCATACCCTACTGCTATCCTGTAGAGCTCATCAAAAGAGCATGTGAGTTAAACTTTGCCAATTGTTCCAGTTTGCACATTTCTTTTCTTGAAAGCCATCTTCCTATGTTTTGTCCTAATACAACACAGCACAATATTCTTGTTCCCTCCTAAGCAGTATTCCTATTAATTTTCACCAAAACATCCTTGTCTTGTTTTAGGATTCCCTGTATCCTCACTGTTATCTCTCCTGAGGGCAGTGAACTAAATTTGACTTAAGCGTGTGTCAGCACTGAAACACGAAAATGGCTTCCTGTCTCCAAAACAGAAGTCTTAGCCCTGTTGCTGAAGACAAGATGCAGTGTAGATGGAAGACGATGTGACCACAAAAAACACTGCTATTTTGTAATTTCCCAGAAAGTAAAATTACAGTAGGGCAAAATCACACTGCAGCATACACACATTCATAAATTTTACATTTAAAAACTTTGCTAAACATTTCTATCAGCACACAAGAGTTTAGGATAGTTACTAAAATTACAACTGCAATCAGGGAGCATAGGATAAGCATAATGGACTGTTCCCATCTTCATGTACTCACAAAACCACTAGGAAAGTTCACGGGGAAAATAAAACATAAAAGATACCAAGTGTACAAACAGTAATTGTTTAGAGCTCCTCACAAGAGCTGGTAAGAGTTGAAGCAAGTTTGAACTGTGGCCTTGTCCAAGTGACAGGCAAGAGTAACCAGTTTCTATAGACACAGTCTTTGTTAGGAATGAATGCTAGGCATACTATCACAACTTAATGTGAATTACTAAATCAAGGTAATTGTGTTTTGGAAAAACAAACCATATAATACACAGTCAAAATTGCATACATGCTCTTTGCAATTACCATCTCCCTCTTCTTATAACTAAGTTTAGTAGCTTAGTTGTGGTGCATATATGATAGCAATATCTAACACAAAATGTATCTATTGAGAGCAATTGCCTTTCCTGCAATTTGGAGAAGAGTGCTACTCAAGATCACTTCAGCTCCTGAGAGGCTGTAAAAGGAGATATTCCTCATTTAAGTAAGTTTGTTGCTGTATATAAAATTCTTTCAAATACTTCAAGGGAGCTGCAGCAGATATCAGCTAATAGACAATGCCCTGTAATCCAAGATTACTTTTTTATGTGTCCTTTGTGGTCTTATCCAAGAAGATTAGGAAAAGTTAGATTTAGTATATTACACTGTGCGTGGCACTTACTAAAATAGGTAGCTGTCAATTTCTAATTACTTCCTCTTGGGAAAAAAAACAAACTCCAAAAAAGACAAAGCCTTCTTCACACATCCTTGTATTAGGGTAAAGGAGTAGGAAAAAAAAGGAGAATAGAAAAACGCGATTCATGGTGAAAGGAACTACTATAGCCTCAACTGATTGTGCTTCTTCACTCATGAAAATCTATTTTTCAAATTAACTTCTTTTCAGAAGGAGTTGGGAAAATATTCTGCCAGTGCACAAAAGAAAAAAAAAAAAAAGAAAAAGGGCAAAAAAGGGCAAATTGATCCCAACTTCATTACTCAAACTGCGAGGAAGCTGGTTACAGCTAAGCAAGGAGAACTTTTGGTCTTCCCCGTAAAAGAAATATATTCTGCTTACAAAAACTAGCAAAAAAAAAAAAAAATGAGGAAAAAAAAAATCTTCTGTTCACTGTTCAAGTAGATCAATGAAAGTTTAAAGAAATAATCTTTAGGAGTCTTACCTCAGCTGTGGAAACAAAGGAGTCTGTTGACGCAATGCTTAATGTATCTCGAAGGCCGAAATCATCCATATTATCCTTTACAGTAATGTCTGTATTTTTATCTTTAGAAAAACAAACAAACAAAAAAGACAAACTGATTATTAGACTATCAGAAAATTAAAAAATTAAATTTCAGTCTTGAAAGTGTGTTTCTCATATACTTTAATGTAGTACTTCGTTTGGAAGGCACAACATTATGCTACTGTGAGAGTAAATTCTGCCACGACCTGCTAAGATATATGAAGTGACTGTATTTTTCTGTCTTTAAAGTGGACTTACAAACATCATCTGTAATGAACAGAGAGAGAGAAAAAATATTTCCCCAGGGGTTTTGCCTTTTCTGTGCTAGACTCGTGACGATCCCTGTATCTGAAGATATTACTTTGCTATATTGATCTAAACCCTCTGTTAAATTTTTAAGCTGGCTGTGTTATATGACAAATACTCAATGTTTTAGTAACCAAGAAATACAGTTCTAAACAAAAGTTCATTAATAAAAACAGGTTTCAGCTTCATTTGAATTAATTTCATTTTCTGCTTCTGGTGCCTTTTTTCACTTGCTGGTTCTTCAGGAGGGCAAATGAAGTTCTTAATCTTCACTGTATGCTCCTTGCCCAAAAAGCTTTTCCATTGAAATTACCCATCCAGAAGCACATCCTATAGTACTGCAATTCTTACAGCCTTTAAAATAACTGGTATTCTTTTGCTTAAAATCTGCAACACAGTTTTTCTTTATTTTATTCTTTGATTTCAGCTGTTGCACACATTACTAGCATACATGGGTTTGTTTACACTGTACACAAACACTGTCACAGAAAGATTAAATTCATAGTTCAGTAAGTCAGACTTTGGCTTGATGTGCCCCATACTACATTCTCGGTAGAGCACAGGCATTTATTTTGGGTTACTTTACCTTCAGACATTACACATGTGTTGCTAAAAGCCTGTTTTATTTCCAACAGTCAGCAGCAACCAGCTACGCAATGTCATCCAGATCTGTTGCTATGGCAATACTTCATAAGAAACACTATTACACAGCAAAGTGGCCAAACGCCAATATACCCGAATGGTTTACTCATCAATTGAAATGCTACAAATCCACATAACTATTATTTCGGTGGTTGTTATGGTTTTATTACTTACGGACTTGGAATGACAGCTCAAAAATTGCACCTAACAATAAATATGTCTTTGAGACTATTCACTGAGGGAAAAAATTATTAAAAGTTTGGACAAAAACTTTACTAGATTGAGTTAGGCAGATTTCTACTTGTAATCACAACTTCACCAATATTCACATGAAAGTCTCTAATTTTTTCAGATCATTCTTAGTTTGTTCTTTCTTCTGACCTCTTAAAACCAAGAGGAAAAGTACAGCAGCATCCAAGTTGGTTGAGAAACAATCCCATACTGGAATCTGAAAAGCTAGAACAGAAAACTCAACTGTGGTTTGTAAAGCATTTGCTTGAGGTCTGGTAAGAGTATATGAGTAACGTGATGTTTCCTTCTTATTTCTGGCTCATAATTTGTATTAATCCACTTCTAATGTTAGATTAAATGCTTTTCTAATAGCAGTTTTGCACAGAAGCAGTTGCTGAAACTGCAATAATACTGCTAAACACACGGTAGTACAGGGATGTATAGGCTGGTTGCAGATTTTTCCACTCAATCTCTCCTTTTGGCTAAGTTGCTTTCCATAATAAATTTGCAATTAAAACAAAAGTTTCTACATCTCAAAAGCCCCCCAGCACCTGGTTCAAATGCAGTCCAAAGGAATTATTTTCCTGATCCTCCCAGTCTGTAGGCACATGCAACACTTACTTCATGCAAAGTAAACAGCTACAGTCACAAGCAGCAATGCAAATTACAAACTCCTACAAGAGTAAAGCATGGACCATAGTACTTTTTTCTTTTAATGGGCTGCATCCAAAGAAGCATGGCCAGCAGTTCAAGGGAGGTGATGCTCCCCCTCTACTCTGCTCTCATGAGATCTTACCTGGTCTACTGCATCGAGCTCTGGAGCCCTCAGCACAAGAGGGATGTGGACCTGCTCACATCCAGAGTCCAGAGCTGGCCACGAAGATGACCTGAGGGCTGGAGCACCGCTCCTAGTAAGACAGGCTGGGAGAGCTGGGCTTCTTCAGCCCGAAGAAGAGAAGGCTCAGGAGACACCTTATAGCAGCCTTCCAGTACTTAAAAGGGGTCTACAAGATATCTGGAGAGGGACTTTTTACAAGGGCATGTAGAGACAGAACAAGGGGAGACGGTTTTAAACTGGAAGAGGGTAGATACAGATTACCTATTAGGAAGAAGTTCTTTACTGTGATGGTGGTGAGGCACTGGAACAAGTTGCAAGAGAAGCTTTGGATGCCTCATCCCTGGAAATAATTCAAGACCAGGTTGGATGGGGCTTTGAGCAACCTGGTCTACTGGAAAGTGTTTCTGTCCATGGCAGAGGGGTTGGAACGAGATGATCTTTAAAGTCCTTTCCAACCCAAACCATTCTATGATTCTGTGTTACTTCTAAAGATCTTACTAATGTCTTTAATGAAGTTGTTAAGGTAAGGACCTAATTCATGTGTACACAAAGTGCAGCTGTAAAGTAGTCTCACAGATCAATTTACAATCCAAGAACACCTCCACCACCCTTACAGGGAAGAGCCAACTATTCCACAGACTGAATACTCAAAGCCTTTGGATATTGTCTGATAATGACTGTGCTGTTGCTGTTATATGTGACTCTACAGATCAATGACGACAAGATGTCCCCCAACTGACACTGAATTAACACTGGGCTATGTAATTCATTATATAGATATGGGTATAATGCTATTTAACTAGAATTTATTTTTCATATCTGTAAAACAATCATTGGTGCAAATGAAGGAAAAATGGAGTTTCCAGCCCAGGACACTATATAATCAGGGGCTCTTCTGTAGAGTCTGCATTCAGCCTGCTACTGATTACATGAAGCTCTCAAGATAATATTTTTAATACATCTATATTTGCTGAACTCATTATTCAAAGTTTTCTAATACGGGCTTAAAACTGTCACCTAGACAGTATGTTTTTAACATGTTAGTTGAATATGGAATATGTGTATGTTTTCACTCAAATTCTTACTACTACACACACACACACAAAAAGGCTCAAAATTTGCATGTTATGGCAAAAAGATTGATTAAAAAAAGACTGGTAATGCTGAGTGAAATAATACCTTTGGCAAGTGATATGTGCATACAAAGCACAGCCTTCCCAAAGAAAGCAAAACAGCCTTGTCAGCTATTTCTGCCTTTCTGGCCATCACTATCCTAACACCCTAAAATACCCTTAGCCAAGCAGGTGCTCATCAATACCCACACTATGCAGAGAGCACACTATTATGGAAATGTTAGGGTTGAAAATTAAGTTACAGCTGGAGTACATACCATGTGAGTACCAGGAGAACATTCTTAGCCACAAGAACATGAAAAAAAAGATAGAGCAGCACAATGAGACTCCTGGAATGAACAGCTGTGAGAGGAACCCACCCACCAGAGGCTACAACTGCTCCTACAGTCATCCCTAGTTCTTATGTAGTCTAATACCTTCAGGAACAGAATACTAGCGAGTGTGTGAGCTTCAAATAAACTTTACTTATTTGAGAAGCCAGGAAGTTATTTTGGGTTCATTTATATTTGTAAAGAGCATGAAGTAGAGTTTCAAATGTGATACTGACAACAGTAATTGCCATCGGGACTCTTGGTGGTGGTGCCTTAAAATGCATACGTGGTTCTAAAGTTACATGAAGGGTATTGAAAAAAATGGAAGAATATGGTGTATTGCTAAAGCTTGTGAAATTAATCCTAGCTTTATAAGATTCTGCAAACAACTATCTATTTCAAACTAAGCAAAATAAAACCAAACCAAAATGTAGCTACTTTCACAGAGTACTAATCTAGAGTATTTATTTGTCTTTGCCCTAGTAGGTTTGTGTGGTAAAACAGACCACAAAACTAACCCTCTAAACTCAGAGCAAAATCTGACCTTAGAGATGGAACTGCACACAATTAACTTCTTAGCATTCAATTGGGAAGCATTTACTTTCACCTTATGTTTTAAAATTCTGGAAACTGTTTATAGATCATCTTCCCTCCATGCCTGAATGAAACATGGCATGAGTTCGCAAATGAGTTTGGCACTTATGTGCAGCAGTTAAAAAAGGAAAGCACTTACCCACTGGCAAAGAACTCGCTGGGAGTTAAGGAATTTAGTTCTGAGTGCCACCGTTAAAGCCGTGGTTTCCTATTCTCTCCAGCCCCCCCACTTCAGTGGAACATCAGGGCAGTAATATATCACAAGCAGGAAAGCAAGATGAGAAAGGAGAGACCTGACTGACTGCAAAGAGAAGAAAACCTTGCAAAGGAAGGCACTCATGAAAAGTCAAGGTACCCCAAGAGCAGCAGGGTCCCAGTACTCTGCCAGGCTACCACGCAGCCAGCAACTGTGTTACGTGCTAATGAGGCCCCTTAGATGTGTGGCTTCATGCCTAGACAAAGGAATTACAATAACCAAGTTATGAGAGCACAGAAGTATGAATTACTACATAATTCAGTTTCAAGAGAATGTGTCACAGTCTTCTAGCTACTGACAAGTGGCACAGTGGTTTGTCATCATTGTTGCTGAAGCATCCAAAGGCAGCTTTATTTATGTTTATAAATAGTCATAACTCAGAGTGTTGACTGAATATTCATTAAAAAAAAAATAAAATAAAAAATCAGTCTTACCAAACAGCTACTAATGCATTAAATGAAGTCTTACAGAATGCACCTAGAAAGGAGTGAATTTACTGTTCACTGCATTTATAAAAATAAAACACTCACAACCTTCAGACAGCACCTTCTGATGACTGGGTTGTATAGCTACAGGTTAAAAAAGGCAAGCTAAGAATGGAGTGGGGGGTCCAAACAGACCATTCTGGGTTTAACAGATATTGTTAAATTATGTGTTTACATTCTCCAGTAACACAAACATCTGAGTTCAAGAAAGTGCCTATAGCTGAAGGCATCTCACCTCACTGTAT